GTCACGTTGACCGCGTATTCATATTTACAAGCGCGGGAAAGTTATGCAACGTGTGTAAGTTTGTACTGAAGAACAACATGCCACAAATTACGTTATACGATTCTCAAAGTCAAAGTATATATACACTTTTGATGTTACTGAAGCAGATGCTGAAAGAGTTAATAACGGTAAGAAAAATATTTGATATAAAAAAGTAGATATGTGTACAGAGAGAACTTTCTAACCTATAAACCTATTATTTATTTAACCTATGTTTAATTTTATGCATATAAAAATGCCAAAATTCCTACTTAAGGTTAAAGAAAATCAAGAAAGGAAATTATAAATTAACTGTAGTATATAAAACTGATGTACATGCTTATACAGTCGAAGGTCTAGTTTACACCGCGACTGTTTGGTAGGCGTAGTTGAGAATTAATAGATATTTTATATATATATAATTTGTTTTTTTTTCAGATTTGCTATTTGCAACTTATCTTTTAAAAAAATATGTAGATTCTCAAACTTCTGAGGCTTTAGAGAATCCAATCCAGATTTCTGAATCTTGCCCAAATCCTGTTGCTAAAAATATAATTAGTGCAAATGTTGGTGAGTATTAATAGATATCAATTAATATTAAGTTAACATTAAATTATTATAAACTGATATAGAAATTTAGTTATTATAAGATTTACATGCATAAATTTTATGTTACAGCTTCTACAGTTTGTGATGTAGACAATGTCACAAATACAACACAAGCATCTGTACAAGATGATTCTCAAGAGAAAAGTATGACAAGTTTTTGCTATGTATATTTTGGAAATATATTTATGAAAACATAAAAAATAATGAGTTTAAAAGTAAATACAAAATGTATTTTTATTTACAGACAGTTTCCGTTGGCCACACGAAGCAATACTTTTACTACTTACAAGTTACACAGATAACGAACATCATCTTAAAAGTGGTAAAACAACACACACAAAATTTTGGGAACTGGTTTCTTCCGAACTAATTGCGAGTGGCTATAATGTAACTGGCATGCAGTGTAAAAGTAAAATGGCTAGATTAAAAAATACATATAAAAATATCAAAGACCACAATGCTAAAAGTGGTAGTAGTAGGCGAGCATGGCGATATTTAGATGTAAGTAGAATAATTCTATTTTGTGAGAAATATCTTTTTGTATTTTTATTAAGAATATTTGTTGTATTTATCATAATTGTTTTTAATTGTGTAATTAATCAACATTTTTGTAATTCCAGATTATGGATGAAATGTTTACTAAAAAACCATGGGTGGAGCCACTTCTTACATTAGACAGTGGAAGTTCAACTATAGCATCTTCTGATGAGGAAAAAAAAGATATTGGGTGTGGAACTCGAAAATCCAGTTAACTTCCATCTGAAAACAAACCTCCTAAAACGTAAGTGTTAAAAATGTAATGTTTATTTATATTGTATAATAATGTATTATTAAGATCAATGTTTATTATATTTATAGGCAAGAAATATAACACGTTGGAGAAAATGATTGAACATAATGCTGCTACACGGCAAAAAATGCATGAAGAAGCAATGTCACAAGATAAACTACTGGATATTTTACAAAAATTTCTTCAGTAGTAATGATATCAATTGATTACTTTATTACTTTTATTATACGCATTTCTTTTAAGTTGCACTGGTACAATAAAATAGTTTTTTTTACTGTATAAGTCAAACGCCTTAAAATTTCTATTTTTCAAAAAGGCTGCAAAAGTGCAATCTGTTTACTTACAGTTTTTATTTTTAAGATATTAAGATGCTAATATTATAGGTATAATATATGTATAATATCATAATTTGTGTTCTTAAAGTTTATTATAAGATCCTGAAAAACAACATGCCATAAATTACGTTATATGATTCTTAAAGTCAAAGTATGTACACTCTTGATGTTACTGAAGCAGATGCTGAAAAAGCTGGTAACGGTAAGAAAAATATTTGATATAAAAAGGTGTGTATA